AATTTATTCGTAATTAGTATATATATTGCAAATGGTAAAGAGAGGAATCTGTGGGTGTGAAAAAGGTCTGCAGTTGTATATCTAGGCATTTTAACCACCTGACCACTGAAGCTTTCATTGAAAGTTCGAACTTAATTGAAAGTAATTAATTCCACACTTAATACCAGTATTTGTTGTGTTGACATTTCAGTGCACAGCTCAGCAGCGTTGCAAGCTACTACTTTGACTTGGTATCTACTGCCATCCTGTAAGGCTAGGTCTGTAAATGTATAATCAACTTCAGATCCTCCAACCTAAAATGTACGTATAAGCATAGTTAGTGAGTTCATACACTTGTCGATAGATATTGATAATAATACTGATCATATCAATTTTTAGAATTAATTAATTAACTAGTCAACTAGAGGGCAATTGGAGAGTGCATACCTCCACCCACATCATAATTCTCCTCAGTATTAATTTCCTAAGCATATTGTCTCTACATGAAAATAAAAATAATGAGAAAAACATCAATTAGACGCCATGGGATGGAACCCGGGGCTGGTAGTGTGGGAAACTCTTCTAAACAAACTATTTTCATATATATATCACTTTGGTCACACGTCTATACAGCAGACAGTTAAACAAGTAGTTTTTCGATCAATGTGTCCTTGACCTTTCACCCTACAGAAGTTAGTCATTTCCAGTTCAAGATCTATGATCTATGGAACATTGTGGCCAGGTTTAACTGGTTTAAAAACTTTAAAAAGAATAGTTTTTGTTTTTCGTTAATTGTGACATTGACTTTTAACCCTAAACCTTCAAAATTTAGTCACATCCAGGTCTTTGGTCATGGAACATTATGGCCAGTTTGACAAGTTTCTGATAAAAACTGTTACGAAGAATAGTTATTTGTGACCAAGATATCAAGTTATTTAATAGGATGTGTATGAAGAAAAAAAAACTAGATATAAAAAATTAAAGAAATAATAATTTATTTCAATTAATTTCTCAGTATCAAGGACAGTCAGTGTATTCAACGCTCACAAATCGAATGAGTGTAATCTGTGCGAATGGGTATCCATAAATCCAACCAAGGAATAATTAACCAGGCAGCAAAACTTTTGTCTTCTGATTCTGGTGGGTAGAGCCGACCTCCTAGGAGTAGCTGGAAATATTGTCGAATGATAGGAAAGTGTGTGACATCTGTCTTACCTTTGTAAGGGGTATATCGACATCGCCATTATGATGGGTGAACACCGACAGGTATTGTCGTTCAACACCACTCTCAGTGTCCGCAAATTCCCATGTCACATGCAACAAAGACTTGAAAACCTGTTTCAAATAACATTTACGATTTCATGGTGTAATAAAAAAAATCATGTCCTATAAAACAACCGTCAGTCCATGAGGAAACTGTTATAATGAACAGTTCGTGGTAAAATGACATGCTAAAAAGGGTTATTGTTAAAGGTGTTTGTCATTATATAAACTTGTAATTGATGCACAAAAAAAACACTGATAACCCTAATTTATCTCGAAAAATGACAAAAACAATGAAACAATTTCAGTCAATGGAAGTTTACACATCTTTTTATATATTATCCGGTATAAAACAGTGTAAATATTTTCAAAATTAAAATATATGATAATTCATATTTATATCAAGTTAATTTTAAATTTGACAATAGATCTTTAATGTGATAATTCCACACGTTTACTTGACAATCGCACGACATAATTCTTTAATGGTAGGTGGTTGCATGTAGATCATGAGCACTTACTTAATAATCACACTAACTAATAATGACTTCGTGATTCTTACATTTTCAATACCTTTGTGGTAATAATGGAGGGACTATCACACTACAGTTTTAATATAGCCTTATACCTTTAGTGTGATAGTCCTTCGAACGATATTATATTGATTATATAATATTATTCGAGGGACTATCACACTACAGTTTTAATATAGCCTTATATACCTGAGTTTCTTGAGCAGCAACTCCTGCACTAGTTGACATCTTAATTGACCTGATGATTTGTGGTGCTGTTGTGTCGATTACAAATCCATCAGATGTTCGCTCTGCCGTTTGACCTGCTTTGTTATATGCTCTCACTGTTACGTAGATCCTAGTGTGTAGTGGTAGATCGGTGTTCAGAGTTGTGAATACAGTTTCTGATAGATGATGCTTTCGTATTCCCATGATGTCACTTCCTCCTGGTGCCGTGCCTGCCCACCATTCAAAATGAGACAACCCAGAATGAGGATCATTGAACCCCCACCAATGAGCCTCTAAAATACGTCTGTAAGAAAATAATATTAAATAGCAATTAAGAAATAAATATTGACACAATGTGCCTAGATACTAAAGAAAACAAAAGTTTTCATCAAAGCTAATCACTAAGACATATTATCTCAATGTATGAAAACGATTTTATATATATATATATATATATATATATATATATATATACATATATATAGTTAGTACATAGTTACAATACCTTTGTACAGCAACCCAGTAAGTTCCTGAAGCTGTGGTCAACTTTTAATGACCACTACTCTCACAACTAACTACTCTTAGTTGGAGTCTTTGTGAATCTATGGAATTTGAATGTGGTTTCTAATCATTTGAATAATACTTTCAGTTGGTCTGAGCAATTACATTTATGACTTAACTAACTATATGTCTATGTGACACTTCTTTCTAGCTCATAATTGGTTTATTGTTTAATTAACCTGTTATATTGTGGTCCTGATTGGACAGGACCCCGAATATGCAAAGTTACACACAATTTTTCTTAGAGTTTCTACCCAAGTAGTTTTATTTGTAATTTTGGATTTCCAGTGAGAAGACAAATTAATATATTCATGGACTGGATTTCTGCTATTTTGTCTGACTTTTCCCTGCACTTTGAGATGCATTCACTATTCTCTGTAAGTAGCGTAACTTAAGTTGTCGCATTAGCTCTGACCACCTCCAATTTCTAAATTTGTTTCATGTATTTCTTTAATTAAGGTTTCGCTGTAAATATATGTCGTAAAATCATCAAAGGAAGGTAACTACAGTGTTAGATCAAAGGACGTGACAGTACATCGTGTAGCACAGTTCTCAACGAATGTTGTCCTATAATCCCATCCTATAAATAATGAAATTTCTGTAATAAAATGCTCTGACGGGATTCGAACCTACAATCTCTCGCTTTCAAGGCGAGCATTACACCACGGAGGTTTCACGGTTGGACCTGTCTCTTATACACATCTAGATGTGTATAAGAGACAGATATTATATTGATTATATAATATTATTCGAGGGACTATCACACTACAGTTTTAATATAGCCTTATATACCTGAGTTTCTTGAGCAGCAACTCCTGCACTAGTTGACATCTTAATTGACCTGATGATTTGTGGTGCTGTTGTGTCGATTACAAATCCATCAGATGTTCGCTCTGCCGTTTGACCTGCTTTGTTATATGCTCTCACTGTTACGTAGATCCTAGTGTGTAGTGGTAGATCGGTGTTCAGAGTTGTGAATACAGTTTCTGATAGATGATGCTTTCGTATTCCCATGATGTCACTTCCTCCTGGTGCCGTGCCTGCCCACCATTCAAAATGAGACAACCCAGAATGAGGATCATTGAACCCCCAAGAATAACATATCTTTAATGTCCAAATAAACAAGTTACGCCACTACTATGTATTCAAATACCTAATTAAAATCAATTACCTTTAACGTGTATAAGCTATAAGGAAAATGTACATAAAACTCAGGATATTTGTATTCGGTTTTTTGTTACACTGAAGATGTCGTAGTGAATACGAAGAAACAAATCTGGTTCTATTAAAATTATTTTTGTTGCTCTTAAATTCGTCTTTATATTACTTTCTGTTCGGAAGTTTGGCAGTATTATACATGACTTTACACAGACCAGAACGATTACAAAGCAAGACCTTATACTGCTTTAGAACCTCAGCAAGAATGTGGAAAAGGAACACGTAGAATTGTCTCAAAAATTGCAGAATTATCGGCGTTTTCCCTAAATGTATGTAAATAAATGTAATGTATGCACACAACGTTTCGCTGATACTCTATAAGCATTCTCAAGTAAGTGAACTGTGATGAATTTACAGCTTGGTCATAGTGTAACCTCGATCGTGTTGAGGTGCGAGGTGCTGTAATTACATCACAGTTTACATGAGAATGTTGATAGTGTATCAGCGAAACGTCGTGTGAGTACGTTTTTCTTAATATATTTAAACAATTTTATTTGGATCATCTAAAAAGAACTACCCAACCCGATATGGCTCATTGGTGTAGAGGCATGAATGTAGGTTAGGGTGTGGGACACAGCAACTATGGATTGTTGGCCTAGCGGCATGAATGTAGGTTAGGGTGTGAGACACAGCAACAATGGATTGTTGGCCTAGAGACATGAATGCAGGTAGGGTGTGAGAGGTCCCTCTTTCAATTCCCGGACAAGCCCGTTTTTTTTTTCTCTCAGTCAATCAGCAAAAAAGCAGTTGATCAGCAAAAAAGTAGTCACTCAGCTGTGTAAAAATCACAGCTTCAATCAGAAAAAAAGAACTCAATCAGCAGGGTACCGGTATTCCTAGAGCTCTTCATTGGAGCTATAAAAAAAAAACGTCAGGTTGACGTATATTTATGGAATATAAACATACGTCAACATGTTATCATATTTAATTTAGATCTATTATTAAATTCCATTATCGTCTAAATAGTTGTTAGATATTCACATATAGTATAGAAATAATGTATAATTAAGTCATCTTAACTGTACAATCGAAGTTCTTCGTATATTGTTTCCTTAAAAAAAAGACGTGCACCATTTTTTAGCCAGCAGATGTATAATAGTAAATATATCAAATTTATATAAACTTTGACAATTTCATGAGCAAGAAAAAAGACAACAAATCATCAAAGTAATATATATTTTGTTGAATTTACCTAGAATTTTGGAAGTTGATGTCAGCCCCAGAGCTACCATCAAAGACAAAACCAGCCACTGGTGGTGAGTTGTCAACAAGTACTCCATCAGACGTTACTTCAGTACACAAATCAACTGCATCACATGCAGTAACGGTAGGATAATACGTAAAGCCAGCAATAAGATCCAAATAGTCAGCCATTGCATCTACACAGAGGACAGAGGTTGCAACATATATATTTAACTAAATTCAAAAAAATATATAGATTAGATAATGTGTATTAAAACTACCACTGTTAAAAATAGGATGATTACTTTTTAAACCAATTTAACATATTATTTTTGTACTACTTGTTACTTGTTTTGTTAGCCGTCCTCTGTCATGAGGACATCAGGCCATCATTGACTGATGTCAGTTGACATATACACTGCTTTTGAACAGAGAGAAACCAACATATTCTGTGCTATAACGTTTTGTACATGTATCTTTTGCATTGTCGGTATAATGCATACTTATTTATTTAATTATTATTATTATTAATTTTTTTTTAATTGTTTAATTTTTTTAATTATTTAATTAACCTGTAACCCAAGGCGGGACCCTTGCAGGTACTCTCCTCCCGACACTGAAATATATATTTTCCTGACGAAAACAATAGTCACGCACAAATTCTATTATGTTCGTTTAAATTAAGATACATAAAATACAATTATTGCAGATCATTCAGTCTACCTGTTGCTACACCGACATGCTGTTCTTCCATGACGTCATCACAACCGGGACATAGCCCTATCTTCCAACTATAGCTGATGATCTGAGTTCCACGATCGACAAATCCACCCCAATTAACGAATATAGTTGAGATATCCTGTTGGATATCTTGGTCTTCAGGTGGTGATTTCAACGGACCATCATACACAAAGCCTGCAGATGGTGGTGACGTGTCAACAATTATGGCTCCACTACATGCCATTGAAGATAACCCAGCTCCATTGTATGCCTAAAATTAATTATCCAATCTATAGTCATCAGTTTTAAGTTTTTGATATTTATACGAAAAAATAATTTTTTAATATAGCAATTATACACAATCAATATACAGGTACCTGTAATAGACCGAATTAGCGATATCGACGCTGTTCAGCTATAGTGGGTATTCCAACCAAAACAAAACGCACGAAGATAGGCGATTTACACAGTAATTTAAGAAAATAGCCTTTACTAAAACGTCTCATACACGCTTTGTGTGTAAAGTTGATCGTGATCTAAATTTACAGAAACCATTGTTACATGTTTATGAATGTAACGTCATCTTTTCTCTACGATTGTGTATACCAAATTTGAAGTATAACGAAAATAAATCGCACTATTTTGGGAATAAAACCTACATTGGTTCGTGTCTGCCTGTGTTACAGCACGACGACGGCAGCCGTGTATTCACTCACAGTGAATCATTGCGTCGGTCGATGAATGTGCTAGTTGCAAAACTCATGAAATGTGTTGTACTTGCATATTTCAAGGAGAGCTAAATTATTATAACAGGTATTTGTCGCATATAATTTGTGAGTGTGGAGGTTGAGAGTTTACCTTTACAGTTATGTAATAATGATGTCCCTCTTGCAAATTCAAAGGGTAGTTTTCGTTGGTAATTGCGCCCTCTGACGATGTGAAGGTGTTTGGATAAATGTCTGCCCAGTAGGGTTTTGAACCAATGCTCCATTCATATGTTGAAATACCACTTTCGTGATCAATAAAGACACCATCCCAACTAGAAAAAAAATTATAAAGTTAGCTATTAATCAGAAATATTATTTAGACATATACAGACACATCCATCATTATTATATTCTTTTTATTTCGGAACATTGTACAATACAAGAAAATTAAAACATTTAATTAAACTGTACCATTTATTATTTGATTTGATTATGAAAAAATGAATAAATATTAATTTATTTTTTAACATACTTTTTACACTAACCAACGTCTTCTGAATAATTCCTCATTCCTGACATAAAATCATATTCATTGAAGTAATTTTTTACATTAATGTACATCGGATATATAATATATACTGCACACTGGCGTTGCAAGATCTAGCTTGAAGAATGTAAAATAACAGTGTTACCTTGCTTCGACAGAGGAGGTGGAGTAAAAAACACCATCATCAACTCGAATACTATTATAACTAAGCGTAGGTGGCGTGCTATCAACAGTTATTCCTTGAGATGTTGATAATGATGTTAGCCCAACAAAATCAGTTGCTGAAAGAAATGACAAAAAAAAAGTGGGTAATATTTTTTTAATGCAGGTTTTTTTTTATTTGTAACGTACCACAACTTCCAGCTACCCTGACATTATGTTATTGTTTCCTTAAATAGGCCTAGACTTTATTTTAATAATTTACATATTTGTTAACGAGATTTGCTTCTTTATGATATTGGAGTGTGTTATTGTTAAGGTAATACAGTCACCTTTTTACCTTAAAGTGTATAGTGCATATTATTACATGAATCCTACATAGTTACTGAAGACCTGTATTGAAAATAGTTAAAATGTGTAGATAGAAATACCTTTAACTGTAACAAAATAGGTTTGTCCATTATGGAGATTCATATTATGAACAAGAACATGATTGGTGATGCCAACGTCTACAAAGTCGATGACGTCAATTCCCCCCGGATATGTGCCTGTATCAAAACATAAGAGGATTGTTCTAAATGTTTCAAAGGATGAACAAAGGCAGTTCAACACATGAACAAAGAAGACATGGAAGGTAGTACTATTGCAAAATAATGCAGTAAGCTTAATAATTTTAGAATGAATTAAAAGAAGAATAAATGTACCATTATTTTTTTTTAAATTCCATTGATTAAATTTATCTAAAGTGATTACTCAGTTACTTAATTATTAGTGTGTAGTATTGCCTACCAACAGCGTATTGATACGATTTTATCCCAGAATGGTGTGGTGCTGTTCCATGTTCTTCCACGTCAACAAAAGAGTCCCAATTAATGCTCAATTCTGTCGTTGAATGCTAACAATTGAAAAATAATATTTAAAGAGTATGTACCTTATGTCAATACAACAATATAAATACTATGCCAAACAATGTCGTTGACAATTTTAATAGAGTAGATAAATTATTTAAGGAAAAATATTTTACAAGGAAAATTCACTAATCACAACGCAATTTAATTAAACCTGATGATCTTGGTTTTTTTGGGCCACGTATGAGTCATTTTTGGTAATTCCAAATGAATAACAAACTTATTTCGAGTCATAAAGTGGAATAATACTCATCTATGCTGTGCAGGTAGTGCGAATATTAACTGAAAAGTAACGTACTCCACAGGACCGCCGACGAATAGCGGTAATCCGTTTCCCAAGAAAATTATGCCGAATATAAAAAAAGTACATGTTAAATCATTTCCTATAGAAGTAATGGTAATTTACCCTCCACCCCATCATTATTCCTAATGCATTAATTACCAATGTTTTTACCTGATATATATCTCCACGTTGCCATCCCAGCCAAACATCCCCTCGAGATGGAGGTGTGTGATCAATCACAACGCCATCACTACATGATGATAACGCCGGTAAAACGTCAGTCCACTCCTCGTAATGTTTGGTCGTCTCATCGGCATGTATACAAATGAAGTATTTGGAACCGTGCTTTAAATTTAACTTTTCTACGTTGATGTACTCATTGTCTGTAAATTTAGAATCATTATTTACTTTCTGCAAACATTATTGGTGGAGAATGCATAAATAAATATATAATGTTTGTGATAAAAAAAAAAAAGTAAAAACTGGAATTTAATCGAAATCATTAATTACTCATACGGTAAATATACAAGAGGAGAGCTATTATTTTGTGCCCACCAATATGTATATGCATTCCTGCATCTTTGGATCTCACAAGAATGGGTCTGGAGAGGATAAAATTAATAAATTATAAACTTTTAATAAGACAAAAAAAATATATAAAAATATCAATTGCTGCAGAACTGCAATATCTAAGTTACAAAACAATTGATTAAAGGGAACTGTATTACGAGCATGTTAATTGAAAAAAACTTCTCCCACCTCAATTTAATAACTTTAAATAGACCAATCAATAAACTTATCAGCTTAACATAAACAGCTTATCTTGAAATGCATTCATTTTTTAACCGAACTGATATAAATGTTATTCCTAATGATAAAACAAAAACACTTTTTGACGGATGTAATGTTACTTAAAACTAATAATTTTTTACCTGTTTCACCACAGGTAATTTTGTTAGGATGGGAACAAGGCTTGTCTATACCAACAGGATTAAAGTTTGGTGTGTACTCTGATGGTGATACGCCAATTACAGACCACTCATAGCTAAAATAACGAAGTGTCGGCCAAACTGCATGTAAAGATGACTTTTGCTGACTGTAATCAACGTCACCTTTGTTCCAGTTCTGATTCTCCTCAAGTTTCACATGAGCTAAGATCATTAAATATTTAAAAAAAATATTCTCATAAAACCTTATTTACAAGAAACCTTATAAAAGTGAATATTTGTAATAATTGTGGTTTAGTCGTGTGCATCAATGTACTGCTTGCTTTATTGAAATGTAACGTAGACATGTTGTTGATATAAACGCAAGAAATTAATAAAAAACCAACAGGTTTAGTGGAAACAACTACAGTATAAAAACGCAAAATCAACCAAATACAAACATCGGCTGATGTGTTTCCCGAGTTCACATCGACA